ACATATCTTGTGTTTTCGTGTTCCCCATCACACTCAGCTTAATTTATGGATGCTCCCATTAGCAGCAATGGCCCAGAGTGGATCAACTGAAGGGAAGAAACCCTTCCATTATGGACAGAGGATCTCCCTGCCCGTCCCTGCGTCTCTCACTCCCAGTGTCCAGTATGTGCTAAGCATTTGAGAGGAACACTCAAAATCTCTCAAAGACTTTCTTGCATCACAGACAGGATCATGCAACCCTTCTTTTTTATATTTTTATTTTTTGCAAAATGGTTGTATTTAACTGCATCATCCTTTTGCCAGAATATTGGAATAGGTGTCCTTTCTGATCAGCAAGCGTTCACTAACAAATGTCTCTACATCTTGTTGCACTGTCAAGAACTACACGTATACTTTGCTTCCCACTTAAGATACTGGCCAGTTAGACAAGACTGAAACCTGGCATGGCTCCCCCTCAGCAGCCCAAGAGAGATTTTTCATTTTGAATCAGCTCTCAGCACCAGTGGGAGACAAGGAGAGGAGTCTTGTTTATCAGGATCTCATGGCGGGAGCTAATGTGGACAGGTCATAGTTGTTTTTGAAGCAGAGGGTAGAAATTAATACCCCCGTGAGACTGGAAGTAGGACATATGGGGGGGTGGTTCTTGGAAAGGAGCTGAAGGACAGAGATAAAGCTGCTTAGGAAAGCAGAAAGCATAGCTCTGTCTTCAGCCACTTCACATGGATCTGGAAGATGTGCTCATTGTTCCCCAAGCTGGCCAGGTCCTGACTCCATCTAAAGCTGGGAAACACTGTTCTCCTTTCAGTAAGGCAAGAGGAACAGTTCCACCTCCACTCAGCTTTTGAAAAGAAGAAATGCTACTAAATTAGTGGTTAAAGGCTAATAGCTTTTAAACTTCAGTCACATAAGTACAGTCAGCCCCATTTTACAGATAAACTACAATCAGATTGCAATTTGTTCTTAGTTTCAGGGAGCATCTGACCATCTGTGAAATTCTGAAAGACAACTGTTTAAAAACAAGCTATTAAGTCAACACTAATTCCTCATGTTACAGAACAGCTTGACAAATCAAGGTCAAATTTGACTGTAACTGTCAAAAGCAAGAGCAGTTCCATTTTCCACTGTGGTAATAAAGCTGAAAAAAGATCACAGCAACTCTACTTAAGCTGGTTAAAACAAAGGTACAGGCCACCAGTGCAATACTAGCCTTCCCCATGGACTCCTATGTGTTTTAAAATTATGAATTTCCTGATCACAGCATTCACTGAGTGTAACTAGTGTTGAGACTATTTCTGTTGATAGAGGAATACACAGATTGTTTCATCAGCAGCTGTGATGGTCAGTTTCCGACTAGTGCAATCTTTGACACTGTGTAAATATTTGTTGTTGCTCTGTGCAATTTAGTCAAAAATACCAAGTGAAGTGTTGTTAAGTACTTTATTGGTAGAGTAACATGCAGAGACCATCAACCACTACACCATTCAGAGCCTAGCCATCTAAAATTAAGATCCAGTCCTTTGTTCATTTCAAAATGGAATCTTCAGATGCTAGAAGGGAAGAAAAACAAACATAGTTAGGACTACCCATAACTTCCATGCACTGCTAAAACATGCAAAACATTCATGGAATCAAATATTAGCTTTAAATATGCCATTTCTTTCTAGCTGGTTTTTGCAATTTCTGCTTCTGCTAACTCAACTGAAGTGTATTTCATTGCTGTAGGGTAAAAGCAAGCAAAAAGCAAAAGCCTTGCTCACTGGTTAAGTAAAAACTTTCTGAAATAGTAATTCACATAAGCCCCGAAAGTCATCAGCACAGATGCTTCCATTTATCCATCTTGGAAGAACAATCCTCAACTTCTGGACTGCACTGATTCAGGTTCTAAGAACTGCTTTTCTTACCAGAGAACTGTACCATGCCACTGCTGAGAAAGCTAACAGCCAACCTATGTAATACTTAAATAAACATCCTAAAGAAATAATCACAGAACTCACTTCTAAATGAACTACCAATCCTCCAGGACAGCCTTTGTCCCCCAAAATGCAAAATTCTTCAACTAAATAAAGAAATACCCCAAAGACTTACATACAAAGTTCAATGGAAGCTACATATTCAAGACACAAAATAGCTTTATCTCCAATAAAGAAAACCATTCAACAACTTGAATATTTGATTGTATGTATGTGTAATTCACTCAGGTTTGTTTTTTCACAGGGTTTTGTTCAACATTAGTCTTTTCTCAAGACAACCCAAATGTCAGTATTTCCCAGAGAAACACTATGAAGCTACACCAAAACCAGTGAGGGTTATTGGCCAGTTCTGTTCAAGTTTTTTCTTACTTTAAGTCTATTTAACTCACAGCTATTCTGTACATATTAGAAAGGCACGGGGGACTAAAGAAATAATCCTAAGGATAAAAGAAAGCATGCTGCTGCAGCAGTGCTATATGGTGGGAATGAGAAAAGCAGCAGTCCTGACGTGAGAGGCACCACCAAGTGAAGCTGACCTCTACAGCTACGCTAGTGATGGCACTGCCAAGCGGGCTGTGGACAGAAGCAGTGATCTAGGACGTCTGGCTTTGGTCATCAGCTGCCTCGGGGTGAATTGTACCCTAATGAAGTCGAGCAGTCGGACCCAAGAGCCCACCTTCTGCCAGTTCCTTTGCAATCCGTTCGAGCTCCTCGCGCTTCTTCTTCTCCTCCGCCTCTATCCTTCTCTCCTCCTCAGCAATAGGCTTTAGGTAGTCTGTCATTGACACGCACGGTTAAGAACACCGCTGCCGAGGCTCGGGGCAGCTGTGCGGCTCAAGCTCACCGACAAGCGGAAAGAAAAGCCAAGCCAAGAGGGAAAGGGCGGCGGGGCCGCTCGCGGGAGGCCTTCCCCCGGGGCGGGAGGGAAATGGCGGCCGCCTCAAGGTGCCCTTGGGAGGGCGGGGAGGAGCGGGCCGCGGGGCCAAGGGCCGCCGCACTCACCGTATCGCTTCTTGCCGTAGATCATCCCCACGAGCAGCGCCGAGTACCGGGTGAACTGCGGGGACAAGAGACAAGGGCGCGCCCTGCGCTCAGCCGCCGCTGCCGCCATACCCGGCCCGGCCCGGCCCGCAGAAGCGCGGAGCGGAGCGGGATGGCGGCAGGGCGGCCTCACCTTGATGAGGGGCGAGACCTGCACCGGCGGGATCATCCTGGCGGCGGAACTGGCGGCAGAAAGCGGGGCCGCGGCGGAAGGAAGCGGGAAGAAGGCCGGTCCTCAGCGGCCGTGCCCGCCCTCCTGCCCGCCCCCGCTGTCTGACGTGCTTAACAATGGACGTCGGCTCGCTGACGGCGCCTTGAGTCTAATGAGCCCTTCCCGAATTTGGCGCGGCAAGTTCAGCTTTTCAGAAGTGAACAACTACAAGAACGCGTAGATGATATAATAAAAGGGGCAAAGCGTCCTCCAGTTGTATAGGTTACAAGATTGTCCCCCCTGTGCTCTGCCCTCACGAGACTGCATCTACAGCGCCGCGTCCGGAGCCGGAGTCCTCAGCACAAGGATGTGGAGCTGTCGGAGCGGCCAGACGACGCCACGAAGATGCTCAGAGGGCTGGAGCATCGCCCCCGTGAAGAAAGGTTGAGGGAGCCAGCCTTGTTCAGCCTGGTAAAAAAGAAGGCTCCGGGGAGACTTCACTGTGACCTTCCAGTACTTAAGAAGGACGGAAACCACCTTCTGCGTGGTCTGATAGTTATATGACAAAAAGGAATGGTTTTGAACTAAAAGAGAGGAGACTTAGGCTGAATGTTAGGCAGAAAATAGATTTGATTCAAATGCCATCTGCAGAGCAGAAGTAAAGGGTTGTAAGTTTTGCTATTTTCTTCAACGAGTGAAATTTATTACCAGTACACATATTCACTGCCTATGTGCCAATTGAACCATAGAAACAAAACTGTATAGAACCAAAGTGCTTTTATTAGTCATCAGAAAAAAAAAAAAACCAAAACAAAACAGTAATACATTACACATCACAGAATCCTACTGCAAGTCATTTAGCCTCAACCAGGTATAAAACTCCTGCGTATCTGAAGGTATATCTTACAGTAAGCATATAATACCAAGGCGCTTCAAACCAAAAGCAAAAAAATGCTTTCAGAGTAATCTCAACTGAAAGTAGGTATCTAAATTTGTTTTCACTAATATTTATTCCAAGCATTATTTACTGCAGGACTTTGTTGCTTTTTTTTCCTATTGTTTTTTATTTTATTTTATTTTATTTTATTATTTATTCCTTTTAAAGAGAAACACCAAAATCCACCAATGCTTTTAAACATGGCATTAAGGTTATCAGGCACTAAGTTCAAAGTACGAACTAATGCCTCTACCAGAAAGAAATGTAAAGCCTTCCAGAGGGTAGCCAGAGCCTTGATGAATTTACCTGCTCTACTGCTATCCACAGGAAAAACCTTGAACATCAGCACATAAACTTTAAAAATACCAACGTCCAGTGGACTAGAACTTCTACCAGTTAGTTTCTTATGAGTTTCACTATTGCTTATCCAGCCTCTTGTGGAAGACCAACTCAATTCATTTTTCCACTGGAGAATTCTTCTACATGCCAAGAAAGTCTCACATTCTATCAGAATATAGTTACATGAACAAAAAGAGGTTCCTTTCTATGGCATGAGAGCAGACACTGAAAGCCTGAGAAATTCAAACTGTTCATTTCAGATGCTGAGCTGCTTGAGAACTGAAGACAAATTTACTGAGTCTCACAACTCTTCAAATTTCTTCCCTAGGAGACATCAAAACTAGTTCAAACCTTGCATGTGTAGCCATGAATCCTCATATTTTAAATACATCATTTAAAAAAAAAATGTAACTGAACTTTTGTTCAGGCAGCCTGGGGGACTGCATACACAACTGAATTCTCAACTCTCAAGAGAAGTTCAAAACTGTTCAAAAGGAGCTTTCAAAATGATCACTGGCTATTGAGAAGCGATGCTGCTGACTTTAGAATAAAGGGGTGTTTCCATACTGACTACTGCACATCAGAGAAAGATGCCCAGTGAAATGCCCTATGTACACCTTCACTGACTATCACTGCAGTTATACTTCAAGCAGCATTTTTTTTCCCCAAAAGGTAATTTTCAGGGTAGGGGAACATGCTTTCTGTTTTCCCCACTTACTTTTTCCTCCCTTGCCCCCCTTATTAGAAAGGCTTTTAGGCATGACCAGCTAAAATTAAAATACGCTCCAGTTATGGCCAACACAAGCTTTAATTTAGGTCAATATACAGATCACACATCAAGACAACATGAATTAGAAGAACTGAAATTAATGATTTAACTTCACATGCACTGCATGGAAATTTATGAGTGTGTTTCAGTAGGAGACAAACATGCCTCCTCTTCTTCTAACAATACAACCTTCCGCCTGGAAAGAGACATCACAGACTTTATGACAGTTAAAGAAATCCTAACAAAAATGCGCAAGGCAAGAAAAGCAAATGGGATTACAATCTGCATTAGATGGAAAATTTCTGTGCTAAATTCACTTAACAAGCATGTTAGAAAGAAAGCTCCAAGGCTCACACAAGGGTAGAGAGCCAGCTTGGCAAACATGAAGGCATGCTCCTTGCCACCATATCTAGCAAAAGGATGCAATGTTTCCCTTTCATGGAGGAGGGCTGTAGTCCATATTGCAAACTGAAAAATGCTGGCAAAGAAAGTAATTACACAGCTGACCTGAATAGCTTCTATCTCATTGTGTGACTTCTCTGCAAATTCACTGGTCAGCTGGTAAGCCAGCGGAAGACCACCAATGAAAGCCAGTGAAAGTATATTAAGCAGTCCCATTAATCGTGTAGCTTTTGTTACATACAGGAAAAGTGAGTGATGGACAAACCACAAGAGACCAATTGTCACAAAAGAACCAAAGTAGGCAAGATAGTTTGGTCCATATTCACTTAAAGCTTCAAGAAGGCTTCCATGAAACTTCTCCCCAACTTCTCTTGGATCAGGAACATTGTCTTCACTGTGGAAAGAAAACTCACTTTACTTTCATGCACATTTCATAAAACACACCTGGACCAAAAATGTTCTATGTTGTTTTACTCTGAGCAGGTAAAGAAGAATAGGTATCCATTCTGTAGTTCTCAAATTTTTAACTCAGCATGGGCATTTCAAATAAAAGTTCTGCAAATAAATTAGATCTGAAAGGAAATCTGAATTCCTGGCATTCCTTCAGATTAATGTAATAAAGTTGCCACAGGAACAAAACAGCTTTTCCTGACAAAAGTCTTTTTATCTGAAAACACAATGAAGTATAAAGGAAGGTTTGTTCTTCAAGAGTCCCCAGCATACATTACATAGACTGATGATCACTAGGGCTATAATGTAGGAGGTGTAAATACCTTTCGTTTGCACTCTTCTTGCAACCTTCTGGAAGATTACATTAAGGTCACTGCTACAGATTTTAAAAGTGAATGTCAATGTTTAGCTGCTTTATTTCTTCAAATATTGCAGGTATATACAAATTGATATTACAGTTAACAATACAGGTTGTGAGAGTCAGCACAAAGCCTTACCATATATCCAAAATGAGTAAGGTTGCTACAATAGCATAGACTCCATCACTGAATGCTTCTACCCGTTCCTTACTCAGAGGCTCACTGAGGTAAAAACTAAAGGTTTCTAAGCTATAGCTTGCTTCCTCTTCCTCTCTGGGACCTGGAAAAAAAATCTGGATGTTTTTATACTAAAGACAGACAAAAATCAGAAGTTACAAAAACAGGTAGTTAAGGGAAAAAATATATATATATATGAATCAACATAAGAACAGCAAAGCTACCATAATTTCCCCACCTACTGTCTTTGACCACACCTGACAAAATCTTTCTGTAGAAAGAAGGGTGCTGCTCACGCACCCAAGTCAGTCATTCCACCTTTTTTCATAGAATCATATTTTTCTGCAGTTGTGACTTTCCCTGAACTGGACAAGTGCTTCAGGGGCAGAAAAGTCAATTTTTTCTCCTTCGTGGTCAAAAAACTTTGTTCAGATGCTGTGCTATATACCCCAGAATAATCTAACAGCAGTAGGTCCTCAAAGACATTGTGGAGAACTATGCTGTATTGGAAGAAAAGACTAAGTGAGAATGGAAGCCACACTGGGACATCACACCATCTGCTTTAAAATAAATCCAGTCTTTGCCCAAAAGACATGGCTCTGTATGTTTGACTGGGCTTTGAATTGCCCAGTTAGCCAATCTGCACCACCTCACAAGTATACATTCAATGAAGAAAAGGCCTGAGGCTTCCAAAGAGAGAAACTGAATTAAAAAAGCAAGTGTAAACACATGAATCAATAGAGCAGTACATTATGTTAGCCATCTGACAAGAGTGAGAAAACACAGCCATGGCCTGACTGTGGACAGATGTGTCCCTGTTGCAGAAGGCAATATTTGTGTACAATTATTCTCTGGCTCTGAGCATATGTCTTTAGGTGTTTCAGAGCTTTTCTGCCTGCCTAATACTGCTGCTGCATGGTGAGGTCAAAGTAAGTTGCCATTTGCAGTGAAAACAGATGGACTTGTTCAGGGCTAAACAAGAGCAGTGGAGAGACAGAGGTGTTACTCTACTAAGTCTAGTAGGCAGTTCTGATTCCAAAGATGTGAATATTTTTCTGGTTAATTTTGCCTTCAAAGGGGAAATATTACTTTCAAAAACTGTGTAGGTTGCATGATACTACCTTCTCCTTTATTGTGGCACTGGCAATGTCTTTTCTCAATGGAGTTTCAGTAGAGCTTTATCTGGCTTTATACGGTTATGCAATTGTTAGTGTTGACACAAGGGGGCAGAAAGAACCCAAGCAAAACTATGAGGTAAGGCAGTATGCTTTTAGGCTGACTTTAGATATGTGAATTTACACTTTTAGACCACTTAGCACTTTTATTAATAAGGCATAACAAACAGTTAATTACTCTAGCAGTGTTTCATATATGTGCTTATTACTAAGGGACATGCTATTACTGGGGAAATACTTATGGTAGGTGCATGGTTGGACTGGATGATCTTGGAAGCTTTTTCCAATCTTGGTGATTCTATGATTCCAGAATCTCAGATGTGCTGTTGGATGCCAGAGAACATGGCACCATAGAGTACTGCTGAAAAGAAAGTCATGCAGGCACAGAGATTGCTTCCTATATTTTTCTGTCCTCATACTCTCCTTTAAGGAAAGAAAAGGGATAGACAGCCTGCAGTCATCACTCTGTATTTGTATGTGTATAATATTCAGAACAAACCAAGAGAGGTTTCACTTTCAGAAATGATGCTGTAACATATATATGCTATACAAATCCAGTAGGAAACATTAAGTAAGCAGGCAGCTGAGGAGAAAATGGAAATACAGCTAAATAAAATTCCCACATCCCCCAAATCACTATATTCCAAGACTGAGATTGAAAGAATTGAAATGACATCATTCCATGATGTTTGGATAACAATTTGACAACCTAGTACATGAATATCTGAATACACTCCCTGTAAATACTCACCTACAATCTTGGTTTTACACCATGTTATGAATCGACTGAGATGTGGAAAAACAATTACAAGCCCAAGAAGTAAGTAAGACTATGGAAAAGAAAATGAAGACAATTTAAATTTAGCAATCAAAACATAAATTTCTCCCCAAATTTAATATGAAACCATTATTCACAATTCTTAGTTATAATTTTCCCATGGAGAAAAAGAAAATTGTGATTTTATGATGGGAAAATTACTTTAAAATTACTTAATTTTTTGTTGCACATCCTGAACATTAACACTTTTTGATAACTAATTTAATAAAAACAGCAAACCAAGCTAAAACAGGAAGTTAGAGAACCACCACATGTTCCTAATGATACCTGGCATTTGCTATTTAACCTGCAATACCACATTTCCCAATTAAATCTCTTATGTACTGTACTGGCAAAGGTGTTTGGATAACCGTGTAATAATGAGGTCAGGGAATGCCTACTGCTTTACAAGTAGAAAAAATAATAAAACCAAGCCTGCAATTACTTTCTTTTTGTCAACTTTTATATTTCTAGCAGGCTGCTCAGAAAGCTGCACTAAAAAAAGGGTGATGGTGACAGAGAAGTATAAGGGTTTCTTAAGTTAGGACACAGAAACAGCTGTGAGAGACACTCCCAAGGACAGAGTGCTTTGCAAATTTTGACTACTTCTCTACAAAGATTTTGTGAAAATGCTCAAATCTCTTCTGGTTCCTTTGTATCTCTGATGAAGGCTGTACCTATGTTAAGCATTTCCGTGAGGTGTCATTATTATAAAAATACCCCCACCTCCCTGAAATTCGAATACATCTCAGCAAGTTCCCCCCAGAAAGAGCATGATTTAAGTGTCCATCTCCTGAACTTCGTTTTGAAGTATGTAACCATTATGCTGACTCACTGTGCCAACTGACTGTTGGGGGAACTTGCATAAGCTGCATCAGCCTGCAGACAACTTCTGTCCAAAAGACAGTCAAAAGTTGTTCACAGATTCTGCACAAGTCTAAGTTGTTCTCATTAATATTTCACTGTTGTTAACATTAAAACAAACAAACAAACAAACAAAAACTATACTTGTGAAGAAGAGTGGAAAATAACAGTGAAGTCCCAGATGAGAGAAGTATTTTCAGTTACAGTTAGGCATTTTCACACTTGGATTGTTACTTTTGTGAAAAAGGACTAGTTACAGATCCAATTCTTGCCAAATTTGGGGACTATGACAGTGTATTTAAAAACTCAGTTAAATCCATCTATTCCTAAAGAACAAGGCAGAGCAAAGGAAACTCTGAGTATATTAAAAACTAGATTCCAGTTCCAAGCAGAAATCTTGAGAAAAATAAGAGCTATGAATATGTAGAAGTAACTCCACCATTTAATAAAGATGGTAGAGAAAAAGGCTATGTAAGAGCAAGACTTAGCCAAAAGCACCTGTTTTGAGATGCAATTAGGCTGGTTGGTCTGCTTACTCTATTTGCTCCTACACCTTGCAAATACAACAATTATATTCACCTCTTTTCAGTTTGTACAATATGAAGCTCACTTCCCGTAGCCTTTCACATCATATAACTTACTTATGATAGGAAAGATGCTAACTTACTTTTCAGAAGCAGATTTTCTAAAATGTAATTAAGGAAACCATTAAAAACACCTAGGCTGAATAAAGTAAACACTGTAGCAAAAAACTCCTCCAAAACCTATACAAACTCAGTCTAGGGATTGGTCTCTGTGAACTGAACGCACTCAACACAGAGTACAGACCATAATTACATCACCACAGAATTGGCAACTGAGAAAATCTGCATATTTAACATACAGATCATTATTTTAACACAGTTTTAACAATAACCATAAATACAACTAATATAAGCTGATTCATCAATGTAATCTGATAAGTGGGAGAACTTACCAATGGAATAAAGAAAAAAGAAAAGATGGCTGCTAAAAAGCATAAAACTGGTCCTCTTAGGATAATCTTTAGGATGTGACGTTTATAGAAGTTCTGATTTTCAGACACCTGTATCTGCTGATTCAATAAGTGTGGGTGATAGAATCCATACACTACTATTACTGCCTGTAAGAAAAATGTCATAATTGCAAATTACTGAAAATAATTCATACAAGCATACACATCATTTCAATTTCAAAACTGTAAATCAACAAATTCCAGAACACATTCAACCATATTCTTCAAAATAAGACACAGAAGGCAACTAGTGACTACCCCAGGAGAAAACAGAGCCATTTTCAAGTACTTAAAACAGTGGCAGAAAGCCTATGTCCCCTTGGCCACTGCTGTCTGGCTCAGTGAAAACCACAGCAGGAATGGTGAACTGCTATTTCACCAATTTTAAAACTTTTGAAGAGTGAGGAAAGAATTCCAAACATTGAGATCAAAAGATATGTTGCAAAAGGGAGCTGCAGAGGACAGTATAATGCAAACATTCATGCCATCAACGGGTACTATAACCCACAAAACTTGGAAAACTACAAACAAAAAAAGGTACTTGTCAGTTTATATCCATAGCTAACAAACCAAACTTTAATTTCCATTCAAAAAAATATAGTCTCTAAAAGAGAAAATGTAATTAGATAACTCACCTGTATAAGGCCAATGACAACAGCACAGACACTGAAAAGGAAAATTCCAAAAGGTACCCCTGGAAATGAGGCCATTAAGGAAAACTAGAAGACAAAGCAACCAGATCAAACACGCTGTTAGGTAGCAATTAGAAATAAAGTATTCTTCATTTGATACTGAAACTTAAAAACATAAGTAACGCTTTACTTTTCAGTGCAGCTCCACTATATGCAGTTTCTAGCCACAAATACATGCAAGCATCCCAGCTGAAGGTGTCTGAAGAGATGGCTTTGCTCTCAGGTTCATTCTGTAAATCTTAACCTCACTGATGCTATGTCTTCCCAGTAACTACAGACTACTTTGCAGCTGAGCATCAAGTTTAACACCATTTCAGTAGGTGTATGTCTGTAACTGAACAGTCTTGATATTAGTATACTTTGTTGAATCTTTTTATTCCTCTAACTACATAGCTGCATGCCTTATTTCTGTAGCTCCATTATGTGAAAACAAAAGAAGAAAAAAAAAGGAAAAACCAATAAACAAATCCATAGGAATTGGTATTAGATAACAGTGCCAACCTCATAGAAACTATTTCAGCTTCAAAGCAAAGAAAAAACTATATACACTTGCTGACAAAGGCCCTTTTACTGACCACAGTCTTATTCTTTGTAGAGTAATAATGACAGAGATTTATCCACAAAGAAATGGCCTGTCATTTAATCTGTTCTAAACATACAATAGAAATCAACAATTTAAGCAACTGTTTTGTTTTGCTAAATTGTGGTGTTCAGTTGCAATTTTTCTTGCTAGGTTATCTGACCAAAATTGCAGAGCAGTATGAAACACAGCTTTAGTTTCCTTACAAAATGCAAAATTCTCTCTATTCAACTTTGACATCTCTCAATACATCCACTTCTTTTAAAGAAAATGCGTCAAACTGTGCCTTTTTATGATTATACTTTTTGTTTCACAAAATATCCATCTTCTGCTCAGTCTGCTGTAGTTGCAGATAATAACATAATATTGTGAATTTTCAAAAATTAAGGATTAATAAATTAATTATAGAATTAACTATTACAATGGATTCTGGGTTTACACTACAGTAATTCTATCTTGGTTTTCTGTATACTTTGGTAACGTCATTCCAAATAGGAAAAAAAAACCACTAATTTAAATACATGTCAAATTTTGGAAAGGTACTTACTGTGTACGGCAAGAAAGTTATGATCATCATACAAGCCTTAAAAAAAGAAAAAAAAAAACATACTGAAAATCTAGGTAAACTACAAGCAAACAATCACATAATTCAAAACAGAGTATGCAACACAAGCTCTAGCTAAAACAAGAATATGTACCCCAGAGTAGCATTCCATTACATCTATCAGTAACCAAAGTATTGCAGTATGGCTCATATAAACACACTCTCAAATAAGTGAGGAATTCTTATAAGATTTAGGAAAGAGAAGTCAAAACAGTGCTTTAGAGACCATCTCAGCAGTAAGACCATATAATACTGTTTTATATACACTCCACAATGAATTTCAATAAGAGAAATGGCTGAAGTCACAACTGAAACTCAAACTCACAGCTCTGATTTTTGCTACAAATGACACAGAATTACATAAAGGACATACATGAGCAATACTGACCACAAGGGCCAAAATCTGTCTAGGTACCTCTTTGGGAACTCCAGCTGAACTGAAGTGCAGAGGTTCTTTTAGCTTACAGTAAAACACATGCAAAATACAAGCAAGTTAGCTTTCTCTCAAGCTTTGCCTAACAAATTCTATTTTTCTCCTGCCTTTGAGCTTTGGCAGAGTTAATTAGAAGCTTTCTGTTTCATAGATGCATACTAAGAAAAAAGTGACATATATTTGATAGTTAATCACCAAGCATGCCTGGTAATACTCACCAGATTTAGAAGAGCAAGGACATCATCTATAAGCTCTATCACCTGGAACAACCTGGCAAGGCAAGATACTATGAACAGGACAGATCCAAAAATCTGCACTGAAACACAGCATACAATTTATATACGCAATATAGAGAAATCTGACTTCCCCTTCTCCAGAACGTATGCAAGTAATTCAAATGCTACCAAAACTCACTAAATCAAGTATGGAAGTCACTTGCTAGAAAAATCTGAAAAGCTAGATACAAACAGTCAAGTTCAACTGCAGAGCAATTCACTTCTGTTTAAAAGACATGTGGCATAAGACATACCAACTTGGGTTTTTTTGCATGTTTATTTCAGTTCTACCCCTCCATTGCACCTGATATTTTAGTTCTAACCTTCCACCTCACTTGTACCTTTAATGCAAGGTAAAATTAACTGCTATCTAAAGCCAATTCTGTTGTCAAAGAGCAATAAAGATGGCAGCTCTGATCCATCTAGTCACATACCAAAATCCTAACAAGGCATAGGGCTACAAATGGGTGTCACACTTTAGCAAAATCAAAGATATTGGGGTTCATGCACAAGTAACATATCAAGTCCATTTGATACTCAGATACCCAAACAAATACAAAGTCATCAGGTTGACTTTTCACTTTTCAGGTGCTAAACTATGTTGTGACAGAATCTGAGCAATAGGACTGCAAGATCCAGACTTCAGAGACCATCCAAAGTCTCTGAACTCAGCCTCATATGCCATTGTGAAGAGCTATTTTTGTCATTTTCTCTGAATCTCACTTGTAGAACAGAGTTAAGTTCATGCTGTTAGAGCCTGATTATCTGCAGAACTTCAAGGCTTAAAACTATTTCTCCCAAAGATACAGCACAGTTGTTGCACAAAGCAAATCAACTCTTCTTCCAAACTGCCACACATCTTAATGAAGTTCCTGATGCACATAAGCATTACTAAGAATCAACAGCACGCACCACCCTCCACAAAAAGAAAAACAAATTTCTTAAAAACTATCCTTCAACATTTATTTATGCAGGCAAGAAGTACAATGTAACAAAAAGCGCTGATATGACCAGTTTCAGGAATTGAATTACAGGCTGCATCTCTATGAGAATGGGATCAATCCACTTCCTGAAGAGAAGGAATGTAGCAGAATTCAAACAAACACTGCCCTGATTCCAGTAAGCTGCAGAGCTTCCTTAAGCAGAAAGAAAGATGCAGTTACCTTGATTTTTAGCTTGACTGAGAGGAGCTTGGCAACACTATAGCTAGGGGTAACATTTATTCAGGTCATGAGTCTTTTAAAATTATACTATCTGCTCACAGCTTTCTAGCTGACTTAAAGCACTTAATTATGCTTTTCATTTTCCTTAATCATGTAGATAAACCTCTAAAAAGGTTTATCTCTTTATTCAAAAAGAATTATAGCAAACAAAGACCAATGGCAACATTCTATCTCACCTTAGCACTGCAAGCATACAGAAAGGATTAATATATATATGTTTGAAGAAAAAACTATGTTGCATTGGGTTATAATTGCTTTCCATTTAATTACTATATATATTTGGGAGTGTTACTGGGGGGAAAGAAATGGCAAATCAGAACTGCCTACAAATAGCCGAGCTATAAAGAAAGCAAAGAGGTAATTTTTAGTGACTTCACTAGAACAGAATCCATATTGTTTTTAATGGATTTGGAAACTGGACCAGCTGACCTTGCTCTTAAAACCCCTTAGAACACCATGGCAGAGAAGAAAAAACTTGCTTGCTGCTCCACTTCCAGTGAATGCTTATAAATTAATTTATCTCTACATATTCATTTGACTACTACGATATAGTGTAGTGGCAGCATACATAGCACTGCAAAATGCTGCACCTGCAACATCACATCTGATTTTGTGAGAAGCACCCCTAGGACAGAGAAAGGCAAATTTTAAGCTGGCTATACTGAGTTCTTCTATTTCTGTACTTCACAACTTACGAACTCTCAATTTTTCAGCATAATTTTAATTCCACTGAAACTATTAAGTGAAATAAAGAGTAATTCTAATTTTAAAGATACATAATGCTTGATTTTTTTTTCTCATATCACAGTTTCCATTGTGGAGAAATATATTTATTCATGGCTTTGGGTAGAATTTTTGTACTAAGAAAATCCAGAAATGTAACAGCAACATAGAAATGTTAACTCCCAACTTTTTAAACAAGAACTTTTCTTTAATTTTGCAATGGAGTTCACATTTTTCTGTCTTCCTACCTTACATGCGCTGCCCATGCCACTGTGACTATTAAGAAGGTCATCAAGTACACCGCAATTTTTGTTAGAAGAAGCTGCTGAACGCTTTCACCTAGTTTCTGAAACAAAATAAGAAGTTACACCCAGATAGAAATGAAAGATTAAAAAAAGTTACTCATGCAGCACACTTGCTATGACCATGGACCATAGCTGAGTCTCCCAAATTAAATTAGACAAAATGCTCAATATTGAGTCTGGCTGTTTTTAAGAGCAGAAACACATACTGTGATTAGAGAGAATGTGAGTTTTTTCAAATGATTAATTTACACTGCCCAACACTCATGCTTCATTCAGATTTATTTTCTGTACTTCTTTTTCCTTCCACCTTTATTCTGATTAGTTATGATTAGCCTGATTTTAAAACCCATATTCAGTTTATGCTATACTAAGTGGCTTCTCTAACTGATGATGTATTACAGACAAAATGCAATGATGTTTTCTGGCAGATGCTTCAGTGATATAGGTCATTCATTTTCATACAAAGTAACAGCATAAAATCTATGGTCTGCATATTCTATACAGCTTACTAAGACTTTATATCATTACTTTTGTAACCTATGCAGGCCTTCAGTATCTAAGTTCTTCACCTCAAGCTATACAGCTCCTCTTTGAGGTTTAATACTAGTGGTTTGGGAGTTCAGGTCTTGAATGGAAGAGGGGCGTTGCATTAGGGTGCAAAATGCATTTCCAAAGACGCGAGAGACGACCAAAAAACGGCAAATTAGGTACCTGATCGGGATGTATTTTTGTGTGAGCCACAGGCAAAATCTGAAATAACAAAGTTCTATTAGTACAAGTCAGAACGCTGTAAAAACCTAACGAACTTCAGGAGGGAGCAAATACTCGGGGCTCGTACAACGACTCATACTGGGTCACGTAGCGGCTCATTAAAGCAATGCTACCCCCGAACTTGTTCGCGGAACCCGCTCGCGAGCGCCTGGGGCCGCTCCGCCCGACGGCGGTGACCCCTCCGGGGAGAAGGGCGGGGGAGGGGAGCGTGAACACAGCTCGGCACCCGAGCACGGCGCTGGGTTCGGCGGTACGGCAGGGCAGCGGCTCCGGGGGAAGCGGGGCGCGGCCCCCGTCCCTCCCCGGCCAGCCTCCGCCCGTCGGAGCGGGCCGTGGCCCCGCGCAGGTCCCCGCGGCCGGCGCTCACCATCACCGTGGCGATGATGGACAGCAGCGCGTCGCTGTAGGCCAGCAGCCGGTGCGACGTCTGCGTGCTGCTCCCCAGCTCCAGCTCCAGCTCCGTCTTCCTGGCCCCGCCGCCGGGGCCCGGCGTGGCGGCCCGCGGAGCCGACATGGGCCCGGTGCGGTGCGCCCCGCCCCGCCGGCACCTCCCCCGGCACGGCGGCCGCGGGGCGGGGGCGACTGCGGAGCGGGCCGAGGGCCGCTAGCCTCGCTGCAGCGGTTGCGAGGAGGAAAACGCCGCCCGGAGCTCGGCGGCGCCGAGGCTTCCGTCCGCGGCCCTGCCCCGCAGCACGCGGCAGCTCCGGCCGGCGGAGCCCTGCAGCCTCCCCGGGGATCGCCCCGCCCCGTCCTGGTGCCGCCTCGCCTCGCGTGCTTTGTGCAGTCTAGGCGGCACGGTGTAAGGAGGACTTAAATGTATGCATCCAAAAGGGATACGAAGATGGTGAAGGGTCTGGAGAGGAAGATGTGTGCGGTGCAACTGCTGTCCCTTGGTGCTCTCAGCCTGGAGCAGAGGAGATCAGCATATATGTATGCGTGGGCAGCTCGAGGGCTGAAGGCTAGAACACGGAGTGATGGGCTCCCTCCAGGGGTCAGCAAGGACTGATGGCAGTGCTGCCCCGGCTGGGATGCTCGGGCTGGAGAAGTGGAGAAGCTAAGTAGCACACAAAGTATGTCCGTGCTAAAAGGTCTCGCAGTGCTGAAATCTGGCATTCAAGTGAGTTGGTAGACATTGGAAATAAGATAGTATGGTCTTAGGCAATAAATAGAAGAACCTGTGAGTTATTCAGCTGCGTCCCAGGCTCTGCTGTGGTGTTTTTACAACTGGTGGAAGTTAGCTTTCAAGCCTACCTATATTCCACAACTGATCACCCTGAGATGGTCACATGCATTCTTTCTGGAAAGAAGAGTATGAAAAAAGAACCTGACAATCTTGTCTGCACTCAGGCCAGAGAAGAAAGCTGCAAAGGTGGGGAATGGGCAGCAGGTTTCTAATGCGTACTCGTGGAAGACTCATGTCAGGAACTGGAACAGGCTAGTCATGAGCGTTAGCAAAGAGGAATCTAGGGAATCACCTCTGGAGTTTTTTTGGGAAGGCAAGCAACAGTCTAAAGAGAAGACTGTGAGTAAATTTGTCTGTTAGAATAGCATATGTTCTGCTGAAGTTTCCTGAGACAGGTAGGTGATTTGGGATTGGTACTCCTTGGCTCTGACCCACAGTAATAAGTTTAGCAAGCAACCACAATACGTAAACAGGCTAGTAACATATCACCCCCTGCCAGCTTTCTGTCTCTCCATTTCTAGTGCCAGGATGTTGACAGGCAAGCTTCCTGTTGGTGGTGTGATTAAGCCCACAGTTGTTATCAAAACTTACATGCTGGGGCCACCAGCATGTAGTGACAGCTGTCACAGAGTAGGGATGCCATAAGAGCATGTGAAATATTACCTTCAAAATGAAGCAGCACCATGTCTAAGGGCTGGGGCTAGAACTGCTGCTGGACAGTAAAACCTGTGATCACTAAGTGGCCATGGACACCTCCACAATCATCTACTTCTGAGGACTGAGTGACGTGTGTTCTTTTAGGTAAAGCCTGAGTGTAACCTGTAATTATTGTACTGTGTGTTGATTATTGAGAATTTGACACATGATCTGCAGGGTGTCTAGGTGACTGAAAAGTCCAAGTAACTAAGAATTCTACGTAATTAGATAGCGATGGTAATTACTAGGAATTCTATGTTAACTGTAAGCTAAGTGCTAGAAATTGTAGTTAGCAGTAAGGTATGCTGATCACTAAAGTTTTTGTGTAATAATAAAGCTCTAATTGTCCTAACAGTCCTGTGGCCATTCTTCATTCTGCTGAGGATCCGTCAAAGAACTTACCTGTCCTCTGTAGCATGGGATGGTTCAACTGTGAAATCTCAGAAAACTGAATTTCTGTTAACAAGCAAGTTGAAGTAAAGTTCAACTAAACTACAGATGGCGAAAGAAAATAGCAGGACTGCAGCAAAAAATAAGTTTGTAACACAAAATGGGACAGGCCTTTGGCTGAAATACTGAGATAATGTGTCAAACACAAGCAAACTCCAATGTGTGGACTTCAGCTGGGAACTGAAGTTGGACTTCAGTTCTGTGGCTCTAGTAGTAATTTCTTTTTGAGATTCTGGATTGCAGAGCAAACCATTGAAAGTGAAGCTACTGAAATGATTTCATTTTTAAAAAGGTCTCTCCATTTTTCATTGCAGTTTTCTGAACTTGGTGACATCAGTAGTGTTTTTTATGCTTGGTGAAGAGGCAAATGAAAATGACTCCTACAGAAGCTGTTGCTGTTGCTAGAACATATTTGCTAGTAATAAATATTGTCTGTGATATCTGCAGTATAAAACAAAACTTTACTCAGAACAGAACAGGTTTGTTGCAGGAAATTTGTCTTGATTTATTGCCACATCTCAAATTTTCAATTACAGATTCTGGTATTGAAAAAAACAATAAAGACAAAAGAACACGTAGAAAAGATGCTTCATCTTCCCAGTGGACGCTTCTCACTGCTTCCTGACATCAGCCCATTGGGTGTTTTATACTCCATAGCTCTGAAACGGGACCCATCCATTGTCTGTGATCCCTCTGAAGGTATACTTTCTCCTCTGCTGTCTTCTATGCATCTGTGCTGCATGGGTGTCTCTTTGCACTAGCCTCGTTCAGGCAACTTTTCTTGTGCTTCCTTTTTTTTTCTCCAGCATCCTCCTGCCCCTGCATATCTCCTGTCCTGGCACCTCCTCCTTGTGCTCTGGTTCTCTTTTACCCATGATCTTTTGGATTTTTCCTTAAAAAGGTTAATGAAAGTTAACTATGCTCTGTACATATTTTTTTTTCCACCATAAGTATTCATGGATGGAGTCGGAGTATATGCAATGTTATGCATTGTAAAGCAAGCCAAGAAGCATATGTTGAATGGAAACTGTATAAACCACAAAGTAATGCATAAGAATTGTAGAGTGCAGAATAATATAAATTCATTATAGAAGAGTTCATGTGAGCATTTCTATTTGCTTTGCATGAAGTGCTTTGTATAACATGCAACTTGAGCTCAAAGAGTATGGCACAGAAGTGATATCCTTCAAGGGCATAAATCTCTGTATGATCAGTTTATTTTCATATAGTATTATAATGTACTCTTTGAAGCTAAAGAGAAACAATTAAATAAGAGAGTTAATGGTCATGTGGTGTTTCTGATAATAATTACCTGTGGTTTAAAGTATTTCTTTTTATTGCTCTCCACACAGACGTGAGCAATTGTCCTTCTGAGAATAGGTGCTCCTTACTGTTATGTACCAAAAACTTTTGCCCCATAAGATTTATTAAAATGAGAACAGAAATTTAAACAAATAAAAAGCCAAAATGACTTTCTTGCCACTACCTCTTTTGTTATCACTCTGCTTTCAGCAGAATGGTGATTTTTTCCTGGGGTGGCTGGCTCATTGTAGCATACCAGCTACCATTTGAGTTATCACAGCTAGGCAGCACTTTTTCCATTCATCTTTGCAACTGAAAGACAATTTTGCTTAATCCTACTTTTGTATGAGTGAGCTTAACTCAAGATTAACTAACTATTTTATCATCTCCAAAGTGAAAGGTTGTGTTAGGCCTCATGCTCACTGCTAAAAACCTGTACAGTTACTGTTTCTGGAAATCTGATACACAGTTTTTGGAACGTACCTATATTACAACATAAAATATACAAGTTACAGAAGAAACAAGCATACCACAATGTAAAACCCCGTGCTGTGTAAGAAGATTGATTTTGGTTCATTTGTCTAAGTGTTTTGTGTTTATTACTGCTTTTGCTACCATACCTGCCTTGTAAGCGGGAAGTGTCCTGAGGTGGAAGACACTGATTCTTATCAGCAGTCTTCGTAGAATCAACACACATCTCTTTGAGACATTTGCTGGTAGGCTGGTGAGTAATGTTTTTTGTTCATGACAGCCAGTATGGCTTAGAGTTGCAGTGCTCCACCTGTATCTCAATGCCTTTCCCTTTGGTGTGTATTATGCCTACATCATTGAACAGCATTTTTGAAAGTGGCAATTGATTTGTGACCCAAGATCAACACAATGAATTGTAGCAGCATAGAACTGCTCAGTGGTATGGGGATTTTCAAGGCCAAACGCACCTGCTGTTGTTTCCTAAGTAATTTGTGATGCTGCGTTTTACTTGGTGCTCCATTATGCTACTGCAATGCATCCTAAAATAAGCTAATGTAACACAGAGCTTCTTGAGGAGCAAAGTTCTTCTCTGTATAGATACTTTGAATCCTTCTGGTTTGCAGTTCATCTCTACATTAAAGAAAACAGTAGGAGAAAAGAGTTCTGTAAAAGGAGATGGGAAAGTCTGACTGTTGACAAATTTACTATGTTTGGGGCAGGAGTATGGATTTTATTCTCAGAATTTAAGGTAGGTTATAATGAGCATTGCCTTTGCGGATGGCTCTACAGAATGTGCAGTGATTACTGTATAGCTCTTCACTTACCTACTGTCAAAAATACTATTAGGGAAGGACAGCTTACCGCCCCGAGGTCTTATAAGCTTCTCACATAAAAGGGAGATGTTTCTGCACAGTTCATTACAAAAGCTAAGTACAATGTGTAGATACTATGTCTAAGAGAAAAATTCATTTGCCCTTAGAAATAAATCTCATTGCTTTTTGCCATCTTGAAGTGCTTTTTACTTAGCACTTAGAAGAAGGGAAGAATGAAGGATTTGGGATATGTACAAAGGTGTTCAACTCTGGCTTAGCTATCTTTGCATTTAACGCTTCTGCAGAGTTTAAGAGGACAAAGGTTATCCAAACATTAAAGTCTTAAGAGTTTCTGTAGTGGTGTGTTTTAAAATTCACAAAGATCAGTCTTAATCTTCCGAGGAACAAACATGCGGAAGCTATTGCGTCAGCTGCTTTCATATATACATTAACCTTTCCACCTGGTCTTCTGTCTCGGCTTGTTCTGTAGTTGTTTTAGGTCTTTCTCATTTGCAGGCTCGCTGAAAATATTAAGTCATGTCAAGCCATGCCTCAAAAAAAGAAAAACGGTTTCTTTTTACCTCAGAATCTGTTGCAGAAGGACATTCTGGTAAGTCAAAATACTGACCAAATTTTTGCTTTTATTAATACTTGCACTGAATAATCTGTGTGATGAAAGTTGAGTCCTAGGTCCCATAAAGAATAAAAGAAGGAACCAATTAATTATTTTGATTAGTGTTTTTACTTCCTTGAGAAGAATTTGTTTTATTTGTTTAATATGCAGTATAGTCTGGTGTAGACAACTTAGAACTTCTGCTTGAGAGGAAGAAGCACGGAGGTGTACAGTAGACTTAGAGCTTCTACATATACTGGACATTGATTTTAATTGCAGTTTCAGTGAAAAAAATGTGTCTTTCACATCTTTAACTCTGAACTTCTGAGATGTTTGAAATACTAAGCATTGGTTTTCATTAGAGCTGCCTTCCATATACTTCTGTAAATACTAAATATGGCTGTTTGGCCAAATTGCTCTCTTCAGTGCAAGTTTGAATATGCTGTAGGTAGTTCAAAAATCACTGTATTTTTCTGGGACTGAAAGATAATACCAGATCTCTAATTGCTGTTCTTTAAGTTCAGGCATTTTTCACACAGTTTTATTTAGACAAATGTGCATCTAGAAGATCTATTAACTAATGGAGCAGAGAAAGTTCAGGCTTCCATCAGAAATACTAGTGATTTAAATTTATAGTAAAGGCTGCAACATCTATACATTTTTATTTTAACCTTAAAATGGAAGATTTTAATGTTAAGACTAAAAGTAACACTACCTTTTTATTTTGCCATAATAAAATAAATGACAAAAAGCATAAGAGAGAGTACTTAAGGGTGATCTCAAACACTGAATAGTTGCAGGTGATTTTTCTTGTGTATGTTTGTTCTTATGAATCCTATTCCTTATGTGGGAATTGCATAGTGTGAGAGCATTTATTATAGTATCCCATGTCTGCTCAGTCCTATCTGAACAGCCCAAGAGCTGCAAGACCACTGCTACATGTAGCATCATATCAAGAATGACTGCAACCACTTGTTTGCTTTTGAACATTATGCTGTATGTTGTAATGGGGCAAGTAACTGAAGGCAATAAAACTTATCAGTTCTTCCAGGATATGCCATTCCTTGCTTGACTATCAGACTGTGTGTTTAGAATCCCTGTCACACTTACAGGACCTTGTTTTCCTCAGGGCTGTTGGTCAATAAATTTTGGAATTTGACATTAGTGATTCTACGCTGGATTGAAAAAATAATTTCTGAGTCTGAAATTGTAACTACATAGTGTTTCTGTCTTTCATCTTGTGCCCTTGGATCTTCAAACTGGTCAGTTTTTATCAGTATGGTACAATATACTTACGTAACTGACCATGTTTCTGATCCTGTAAGTAAACATACTAGCAAGAAATTTCAGTAAGGCTAGAGTGCATGTGTCACACCCATTTACATGAGGGGCCCAAAAGAGGATACAAGAAACTATGAGGCCATTATTCTCACTTCAAACTGTGTGAAAGTAATGGAATGAATCCACTTAGAGAATATTGTAAACAAATGAAGCAGGCACCTAGGAAGATCCAGCACAACACTGTTTCCCACTGTCTCATCCTTGGCAAACTGGCTAGATGTAGAGGGGATATATAGTCTGGGAGATGGAAATTGGCCAACAGACATTACTCGGAGGGTAGTGGTCAGTTGTTTTCATGCAGGCTGGCACAAGTGGAATCTGCCAGGGATCAATACTTGGCCCCATGCTGTAGAATATTTGCAAAAAAATATCTGAAATTAATAATGATGATAAAGTGACCATGCCAGAAGGGAGAGCTGTCTTACAGAGACTAGGACTAGGCTGGAAGTGTAGTCAAGCAAGAGCTGCATTAAATTTTATAAAGACAAGTTCAAGGTTCTGCATCTGGGATGACATCACCAAAGAACCCAGTACAGGCAGGAACTCTCTCTGTGGTCCACTCTAAGCCAGTTTTTAGTTTATACCTCAGTGAAATAGTATTGATGGCACAAAGGTTCGTACATTCTAAGTAACAGGTTGGCATTTTTCGTATTTATTTGCTTTTAGAGTATGTTGGAAGGTACTACTCTATGGTTCCTGTGTTAATTGTGAGCCTTGAACTTTGCATTGAATTACAGACTTTTTCTTTCTGTTTTATTAAATTTATTTTTTTTTTTCCCAGAGGCAGACCAAGAGGTTGAGGTTAGTCTTCCAAACTCCTGAATCTGGAGGCCGTGGTGCAGGCAAACTATGACTTAGTTACCATAATGAAAAATGATGAGATCAATTCCATGACTGGAGCGCTGCAATGAATGGCTATAAGCTCTTCAGAAGGGATAGGCAAGGAAGGAGGATAGACAAGGATGATGTACTTCTCTGTGTTAGAGTGCTTTGATGTTGGTGAACTTGGGGCATAGAGGTTGAATCTCTATGGGTAAGGATCAGGAGGAGGACCAACAAGGCAGACATCCTGGTGGGGGTCTTTTATACACTGCCTAACCAGGATGAAGAGACAGATGAGGTGTTCTATGAGCAGCTGGGGGAAGTTGCATGATTGCCAGCCCTCAAGTCTCATGGAGGACTTCAACTTCCCTGATACATGTTGGAAATACAATACAGTGCAGAAAAAGCAGTCTAGGGGGTTTCTAGAGTGCATGGAAGATAGCTTCCTGATGCAGCTGGTAAGAGAACCTACAAGATGAGGTGCCACACTAGGTCTGCTGTTCACAGACAGAGAAGGACTGGTGGGAGATGTGGAGGTTGGGAGCTGTCTTGGGCAGACTGACCATAAAATGGCAGAGTTCTCGGTTCTTGGTAAAGTCAGGAGGATGGGCAACAAAACTTCTACCTTGGACTTCTGGAGGGTGGAATAAGAACTATTCACTGGTAGGGAGAGTCCCTTGGGATTCAGTCCTGAAGGTTAGAGGGTTCCAGGAAGACTGGTTGCTCCTCAGGAAGGAAGTCTTAAAATTGCAGGAACAGCAAGATGAGCTGGTGGGGAAGAAAACCTGCGTGGATGAAAGAGATTTTTCTGAGTCTCCAAGAGGAGAAAAGAACCTACCTCCTGTGGAAGAAGGGAAAGGCAACTCAAGGAGAGTACAAAGAAATTGTTAAGATATGCAGGGAGAAAATTAGAAAGGCAAAAGCCCAGCTTGAATTCAACTTGGATGTTGAGCTAAAAGAGAACAAAAAACTTTCTTACAAATGTATTAACAGTAAGAAGATGGCTAAGGAGAACCTCCGTCCTTTACTGGATGCGGTGGGAAAATGACCACTCATGATAAGAAAAAGGCTGAAGTTCTCAATGCCTTCTTTACATCTGTCTTTAAAAGTCAGACCACTTATCCTTGGGGTACTCCACCCCCTGACCTGGAAATCCTGGGAGGATGGGGAGAAGAATAAACCCCTCATGATTCAGGTGGAAAGAGACTGACTGCCACAAGTCCATAGGGCCGGATGGGATCCACCCAAGGGTAATGAGGGAACTGGTGGAAGTGAGAGCCTGGCCACCTTTCATCACCTACCAGTATGCATAGTCAACTGGTGAGATCCTAGAGGATTGGAGGCTTGCCACTGTGATTCCTATCTACAAGAAGGGTTGTAAGAAGGATCTGGGGACCTACAGACCTGTCAGCCTGACCTCAGTGTCAGGTAAGGTTATGCAGCAGATCATCTTGAGTGTGATCACACAACATATATGGGCCAGCATGGGATCATGAGGGGCAGGTCCTGCTTGACCAACCTGATCTCTTTCTATGATCAAGTGACCCACCTGGTGGACAAGGGAAAGGCTGTTGATGTAGTCTACCTAGACTTCAGCAAAGCCTTTGAACTGTCTCCCAAGTATTTTCCTGGAGAAATTGGCAGCCCTTGGCTTGGACAGATATGCTCTCTGCTGGGTAAAGAACTGGTTGGATGGCCAGGCTGGAGAATGGTGGTAAACACAGTCACATCCAGCTGGTACCAGTCACGAGTGGTGTTCCCCAGGGGTCAGTGCTGGGACTTGTCCCAGTCAGTATCTTTATTGATGACCTGGATGAGGGTATTCAGTGGACCCTCAGTAAGTTTGTGGGTGACACCAAGTTGGCTGGAAGTGTCAATCTGCCTGGAGAAAGGAAGGCCTACAGAGTGATATGGACAGGCTGGATAACTGGGCTGAGGCCAGTGGGATGAAGTTCAGCCAAACCGAGTGCCAGGTCCTGCACTTTGGCCACAACAACTCAAGGGAGTGCTCCAGGCTTGGGGCAGATTGTATGGAACAAACAGACCTGAGGGTGTTGATGGATGCTTAGCTGAACATGAGCCAGCAGTGTGCCCAGGTGGCCAGGAAGGCCAGACAGTTCCTGACTTGTATCAGAAATAGTGCTGCCAGCAGGAGCAGGGAGGTGATAATTGCTCTGTACTCAGCACTGGTGAGGCTGCACCTTGAGTACTGTGCTCAATTTTGGGCTCCTCACTACAAGAAAGACATTGAGACCCTGGAGCGTGTTCAGAGAAGGGCAACAAAGCTGTGAGGGGTCTGAAGCACAGGCTTTATGGAGAGCAGCTGAGAGAGCTGGGATTGTTCAGTCTGGAGAAGAGGATGCTCAGGGGAGACCCTGCTGCTCTTTACAGCTATCTGAAGGGAGGTTGTAGTGAGATAAGTGTTGGCCTTTTCTCCCATGTAAGTAACAATGAAACTAGAGGGAATAGGCTCAAGTTGCACCAGGAGTGATTCAGATTGGATGTTAGGAAGTACTTTTCTGAATGAGTGGTCAGGCACACGAATGGCCTGCCCAGGCCAGGTGGAATCACCATCCCTGGAGGTGTTCAAGAAACATTTAGATTTTGTGCTGAGGAAAGTGGGAAATACTGGTGATAGGTGTACAATTGGATGGGATGATCTTGGAGATCTTTTCTAACCTTGTAGATTCTATGATTCTGTGAATTATTTTCCAACCTCACTGAGTATTGGATGGTCTTTATATTGTGCCCACATATGGCACATCTCGTCTACTTCTTTACCCAGCAGAGCAAACAGCCATTGCAAAGCTGGGGGAGACAGGTGTAAGTAGGTCACATCATACCAACTGTACCCACAGGCACCTCCATGTCCCCGGGCTGTGCAGTGAGCTGGGGAGAGATGAGATTAGGAATCTCCTTGCCTCTCTGGCACTGCAGCCGCAGGAAGTGTCACAGACTGCAAAAGAAAGCAGAAGACCATGGTCACTTGCTGTTCCCAGGGCAGGCAGCAGTGACTCTCCAGCCCTAGCTCCCTGTGACCATCCTGAGGGTTGTGTTTCCCACGCTGCTCTCCTCTGCTCCTGCAGGTGCATCCTGGCTCCTGGAGTCAGATAGGGCCAGGGAAACACTAGAGATGCTGTGGGATGAGCACCAAGAACTGCTGCTGACAGCCCTACAGCACAACCTGACCCATTGTTCCAAGACTTGCAGCTGTGCTCAACTACCATCCAGGCATAAGTCCATGCTGGTCTCTACTGGCAACTAAATTTGTACACAAAGGTCAGTGAGGTCACATTCATCTCTGGTTGATACCACAACCCTTTGGTCAATGACCACACTGCCCATTGCTGTATGTATTTAGGCACCACCCTGGGTCCTTCATCACCTTCCATCACTCAGTGATTTTTCTTTGTAATGGTGACATATATGGGAAAATAAAAATTGCACATGTTATCCACAATAAGCCATCTTCCACAAACTGTTTGTACTTTCTGAAACTTAGAGACACTTATTTTGCTTGTTCTGGATGAAAAACCAATTGGTGGCTGTCTCTATGTCTGGCTTGCTTTCTATATCAAGTATAGAAATGTATCACAGCAGGCTTTTTGCTCGTGCTTTCCTGTGTAACCTACTCTATGGAATTTACTTTGGCAGCGAATTGGACTTGGTGATCTCCAGAGGTCCCTTCCAACTCCTGTGATTCCATGATTCTGTGATGTTTTGGGGTATAGAATAGCTCTCCTCTTATTTTGTAATTTCATTCTGATGCTTGTTTGCTTCCAAAGTAGATTAAAAGCAAAAAGTAATTTAAGGAGTATATTCAATTATGCTCCTTCATTACTTTCTCTTTGGGTCCTCTAGTTTACCAGAACATGTAGTAGTATTCTCACTTGAAAAGTTATTTTAGACTGACAATTGCATAGATAATTATATAGGTTCTTGCAAACAATAAAAATACCTCACTGATGTAATACTGTAGATCCAGCTGTGTAGCTGTACTGCTGAAGGTATTTTTTAATGATAGTGGGTCAAGATTAATGCATATTTCTCACACTGATTCTGCAGATATGTAATATTTTAAATATGTACTTCTTCAGAAGCAACATAATGTGCTTTTATCTGGTTCGGTTACCCTGAGGAGACAAGAATCTCAATTTGTCCCTTAATCTGTTCACTTAATTTAAACAACACACAATTGTCCTAGTGAAAAGAAAATTATGGCACATTCATGTTTTACTTCTTCATTAAGTAGTAGGTACTATAGGCAGAATTGGTAAAAACATTTTTCACCAATGCTTTCTAAACTCAAATGAGCTGTGCATTATTGCAAGAGTGGGCTTCAATCTAACACACCTGTTTGTAGGAAGAACAACACCTACTTCTTTCCTTAAAAAATGTAGACACATGAGATCTCAGAGACCCTCACTGGGGGTAGCAAAGGGATAAATGATATCTTAAATGCAAATCTCCGACAGTTACTAGCATGCAATATGGAGGGTAAGAACTACTGAAAGAGCATGGGTTAAATATGTATTCAGGAGATACTTCATACACCTTCTGAAACTAATATTCCAGAATGCCTTCACAGGCTTTGTCTTTGTGCCTTCACCTGGCAGGCTGCTTGTCCTTGCAGATGATATGTAATATGTCTGTTCGGATTAACTTGAGGAGAAGTTGTGGAAACAGGAGAGGACAGATTCAGATTTTAAGTTGCTGAAATTGGCTCTTGGCTCCATAAACAGTGACGTACTGGCTGCTGGATATGAAATGTTGTTAAGAAATCACTTTTCAGTTTTTATCACAAAATAGAAAAGTTGCATCTTTTTTTCTTTTGTTTTGTCTTCTAGACAAAATGTGTGATCAGATAAGTGATGCTGTTCTAGATGCTCATCTCAGTATTGATCCAGATGCCAAGGTTGCCTGTGGTAAGTACAATGCAGACATAAAAACAGATTGATGAAGTGCAACAAGTAATCCATGTTGCTAAAAATGTCCTGTCATCCAAAATTCTTACAGTGATTGGCTGGCAGTCAGTTCTTCCTCAGTTAGCCAATGGCCAGCACTTACATACTAACTATGAGGAGAAGGGAGAGCAAAAGACTGCAAGGCATAAACAGGAAAAAGAATACAGAGTATTTTACTACAAATTAGAAATGATAAAATGTAGAAAACTGCTCAGAAGAAGTCATTGTTGTCAGAGAAAACTGGGGATAACAGAGCTAATGATTATGAGGAGTTTAAGAAAACTAGGGAAAAAGAGAATTGAGAAACAGTGTGTATGAGGATGTATTTCCCAGGTTACTGAGTAAAATGTATTATAAAATCCAGAAGTGCTAAATAGATACATACTATGCTTTTACAGAACCAGGGTGATGCCCTTGGCTCACAGGAAGGTAAATGCACAGTTTGTTTGGGTGTGATTCTGATCAAATGGACTTGTGTTTTTTTGGGGTGACTTTCTGTTAAGTCTGCCTGTATTCTACACTGGATATTGTCACTAGCCACATCTCTGTTTCTAGAGGCTAAGGACTTACTCTAGGATTGGAATGAATACAGAATGGGAATGTTTCTAAAGAACTCTGAGTGCAAAGTCACTACTTTCATGGGACAAGTCATAGAGGCCATAGCTGGAGCAGTGAGACAGTGGTCTAATGTGACACTTGGTCTATAACATCTTGTTGCATAGATATGAACAGTGAGAGTAAGAGTTTAGCATACATATTAGACTTGATGAAGGCATATTTCAGTGTTGCAGGAAGTTGTGCTGGAAAGCTGGAAGACGGTAAGACAAATGCTGTGATAATGACAAGGACTGAAAACATACCATAAGCAATGTGAGAAACATGATCAGTTTGTCTTACCAAAGCAAAGGCTAAAATGTAATATGGTTACATAGGTAAATGCCTGATTTCTGTAATCAGCTGTGAAAAGCAAACAAACAAACAAACAACCATCAGTGACAAAACCCTCACAAAAATGAAAACAACTAAAAAAACCCCAACCAAACAAAAAAAAACAACTATGTTAAAACTTCTAAATGGAATCAGAGTATTTTAATATGGTATTACATTATTAAATCTGGCCATATACACCATTTGATTCAATTATAAAAAAAGGTAGTGGCTGGGAGGGGAGAAAGCAGTTTCTGAGTGAAACTTAGAATTTCTGTTTAGTTGATCAAGATTAATCTCAAAGCTTCTTGGGAAAAAACAAAACAAAACAAAACAAACAAACAACAAAAAAAACCACCACAACAATAACAACAAAAAAACCCACCCAAAATCTCAAAGCATTTTGTAAGAGGTAAGTCCCTGTAACACTGCATTTTACATAAATATGAATTGTAGATTTATGGACATGTTGAAGTTAAATTCAACCCATCAGTAGAAAAAGATTGCCTATAGTTCTCTGAATTTTATTTGCTGCTTGGACTTGTATGATTAGCTAGCTGCACGTGAATTTCTGAATTGTTAAACTGGCAATGCCTCATTGTGGCAGGAGGGAGCTGGCCTGTTTATGTACTGTCAACATATAACATAACAGTAAAGTCAAAGCAATAAGGAGTGCAAGTAGCATACAGCTAAAGCAAAGTAAGTATTCTGCTTCCTGCCTGATTAAATGAAGCCAAATGGTTTCTTGAGTATAAAAGATCTTTCCCAATGTGTCCAACAAATCAGAATCAAGAGAAAAACTTTGCTAATTATAAACCATGACAGTACAAAAGAGAAAATTGAATTTTCTGCCCAGTAGTTTAATTCAAAATGTTGTTTTGGGGAGGCCTAAACAAGAAATCAATCTCCCCGTAAGGAGCTCCAAACCTTATATGGTAAATTTGTCTTGGATAGAGCAGATAGGGGTGTTGCTGAGGCTCAGGTATTTGTTGCTGGTAGAGTGCTGTTCCTGAGCAGCATTTTCTTTAGTTTGCATTAAATTTTGGTAAAAATGAAAAGCAAATGTAGCAAGATGAACCATTCCTATTATGATTCTAAAATAACATCTTCATGCTGTGAAGTCTTTCATCATTATCAAGATTTGCTGGGCCTGCAATGGGCCTAGGAGAGTTTGTAGGGACTGTTGGTGTGAGTGGAGCCTTATTTTGCCATTTCTCAGCCCCAAGATCCATGACTCTGTGTTCTTTCAGTAAGGCTTTCCCTTTAGGTAGGGAGCAAACAGAATGAATTGAGAGTGTTCTTCTTCTCCTCATGCCTGAAATACGAGGTCTCTTCTCCCAGCAGAGGAATCACAGTGCAATACATGTCTCACAAACATAAGTGGCCTGCTATGGTGAGGCAGACAGGAAAATAATTGCTGGTCAATGAGCACAGAACTGAGTGTGAAAATAATGGTACCAGAATACTCTGTGCTGTTGTGCTACCACTGCTTAGGTTTGATGTACTGTATTCATTTAGGGCTACTGTATTATCATGGTCATGGTGTCATCCAGAGATATCATGTGGGATACATATAGCTCTTGCAAACAGAGAAAGGTTGCCCTGTACTGTATTCTTAACTGCCTATATGGATTGTCTAACCTAAATTGTCAATTAATGTTAGTTTGGTCACCTTTCTGTGATACTGCAGTCCATGGTTGTGCAATTTTATAGTATATTCCTGCCTGTAAAACTTAGTTTTGAAGGCAAATGCAATTATTCAAACGAGATGATGACTGGATGGTAAAATTGAAGGATGAAATTCAGTGTAGGCTTATGTAAGTGGAAAAAGAGCACACATAATCACAAGTGTAGTAGGTTAGGTTTGGAGTTCATTGCAAGCTCTTGGAGGTGTGATCTTGGGGTCGTAAAAGACTTATTGTTTTGTTAACAGAGTCAGTCCTCAGTTGTAATACTCAGTGTTTGAGATTTCTATTAAGTTAAGGGATAGTGGAACTGAAAAAGTAATTAAGGTAGTAAGTAAATCCATGGATGCCTCTCTTGAATAATGTGTGTAGTTTGTTTACTTCTCTGTCCCTATGGGAAGATAAAACTACTGGGAAGACTAACAACACTGCCACACACTGTCTGGCAGTGAGTAGTTTAGGCTACTTTTCTACTTTCCTCAAGGGAGGATTGAATGGGATATGAAATAAAGCTATGTATATTGTAGATTGTATTGCTGTGGTGAACCTTTTGTGATTGATTGCTATATGTTTAACACCAAATGGAGAAGATACCCTGTTCATTGCAGAGGTGTTGGACTAGATGATCTTTAAGGGTCCCTTACAACTCAGCCAGTTCTGTGATTCTATGAAATTCAAAGGCTGCAATGATGCTTGGAATATGAAATGATTCTGCACAGAAGTGGTAATGTAGTTGTGGAGCTTCCCACTTCAGGCTGCTGTAGATGATACAAGTTTTCTTGGTTGCCAGAGGCAACTGGATGAATTAGTACAGCAAAAATCTGTCAAAGATTAGTAAAGCCGTATGTTAGTAAGTTATATCCCTCTAGCTTTAGAAGGTCCCTGAACTGAAGCTGGACCAGGAAAGCATGTGGAGAAACAACTCTGTATAATAGACCTGTCCTTACAGATGTTTGCTGCTGGCTACTGTGGAGATAGGTTAATTGCACTGAATGAACCCACATTGAAGTGATTTTTATGTTAGTATCAGTTTAAAAGAAGAGTAATGGCACACAGACATATACTTAAGCTAAGACATTTCTCTGAGTTTCCTCAATAAGCAATCATTTGTTTAGGGAATCTTATTCAACATCATTTTGTGCAGTTGTATAAATAGCAGCAGTAGAATTCTTTTTTTTTTTTTTTTTCTTTCTTTCTTTCTTTCTTGTTTTTCCTTGCAGAATGTGTGGCAAAAACTGGAATGATTTTGCTTTGTGGTGAGATCACATCCCGGGCTATAGTAGATTACCAACAAATAGTAAGAGAGACCCTTAAGAGGATAGGGTATGATGACTCTTCTAAAGGTGAGTGAGATCCTTCTTTCATTCATTGCTGGATCTGCTCTGCATGTGGCCGAAGTCTTGTTTTTATGATCTGCTTAAAAATGAAACAAAATGCACGTCTAACCTGCAGGAAAACTGCACGGATGTTGATACATATTTTTGTGCTGATGTTGAAGAAGCTACTTGAAGGTAGAATATTCACGAAGCACTTATTCTCCAAAAGACTGTCTACTCCTTTCTCCTCTGATAAAGAAAAACTAGTGTTTACTCAATTATCCAAAAGTAATTACATCGCAGGTTTATATAGTAAGAGCTTAAACCTTGATGATCCTTGCCCTTGGGGCGAATAAGCCTACAAAACTTGAATTTAATTCCCAAGGGAATTCTTTATGTACTCATAGTATATTTTCCCATGGTAACTTAATTTCAGCAATTTAATCCCCAACACAACTATTTTCTTTCAGTTTTCCCTTTTCATATATTACTTGCATAATTTTTCTCCAATTCTAGAACTTGAAGCAATAACAACAACAAAAGAGTAACAATTTCTGGTAACATTTTTCACATGTGGTTTGAACCCTAGGCATCTGTATGGAAGCACTATCAGAAGCTTTTGTGGGGCAGCTAGAGTTACACTTGACCTGTCAGTTTAAAGAGCTCATTTCAATTGCAACTTGCCCAGATCCTAATACTGTAAAACCAATATTCTAATATTGTCTGATTCTGTTAGCAGTACAAAACCATTTCTGGTATAGGAAAGTTGTTTACTTAGGTTTGTTAAAGTCTTAGCCAAGGTAACTAGATAATCCCCAAAAGCTTCTTTAGTAGATAGTAAACTCTCAGAAATATATGACCTCACTTCCCAAAATTTCCTTCACTAGGATTGGACCATAAGACTTGCACAGTTCTAGTGGCCTTAGAACAACAGTGTAAAGAGATCAAGCATGCTGTCTCCCATGGCAAGAGTGATGATGACATTGGAGCAGGGGATCAGGTAATGGGATTTTATTCTAGACACTGACATGGAGTGTATGCACAAGCAGTTAGATTTGAGCTGGACCAAACACTTTCTTTTATGGACACTGCAGAAATTTAAGTGTAAGAATTAAAGCCAAATACTTTGTCTTCTCTTAACCATCAGAAATGCAAAAAACAAAAACAAAACCAAAAAAAAAAAAAAAAAAAACAACCAAAAAAACCCCAAGGCACTAAAACCAACCAAAGCAAACCAAGCAACCAAACAAGTACAAGAAATGACATAGCCATCACTAACTTCTCTTTGGAAAGAGAAATGGCTTTTCCTGTGGTGCTTACTGGTAGGAACTGCAATTAAGCTTTTCATCAGTAGATGGCAGTGCTGGTCTTTCACGTCCTATGGTAGCCTGTTCTGCCTCTCAGGCTGCATTATTTCAGTTGTCGTGAATGGGGAAAAGGCAGACCAGGCACTATGAGCTTTACGTCTGTTAGGCCTTTGCAGTGAAATCTTGTGGATGCTTACATCACTCTTGGGATGCAGACCTTTCTGTAACTCTCATTCTCATGCAATGCAGATACATTTCAGCCTGGTTATGCCTCCAGGTGTATTCATTCTGCAAGTTACTGCTGTCTGTTTCTAGATTTGGCTGATTTTAAAGTACGTTGTGGCAAAGACATGTGCAGAAACTAAAAGTGAACATGGAAATGGGTGGCTTAATTCCCTTTATTTCAATGCAGGGTTTGATGTTTGGTTATGCCACTGATGAAACTGAGGAATGTATGCCCTTAACAGTCCTCCTGGCACATAAGCTTACTGCAAGGATAAAGGATCTGGAACGAAATGGAACATGGCCCTGGGTTAGACCAGATGGGAAAACACAGGTTTGTAAAGTAAATGCATACATATTAGTTTACAAACTTTCATGGTGAATAACTACAGAAGTCACTTACCCTGTCTGTTACTAAACTGGAATATATACATGTAATATTTATACAATACATGTATACACACATATGTTTAACAAATGATAGTGTTATTTTCAAATTCCAAGGTGAGCTGGATTTCACAAGGTGCATTTGTGTGTAACACATATGGGATGTTCTGCCATTGTCTTTACAGTTTTCTTCAAATTAACTCTGGTACTTTGCTTCTTTTCCTCTGGTGATTAGAAAGATTAACACATTACTAACAAGTTTTTTTTGTTTGTTTTTGTTTTTATTTTCTGCATAAACATCTATATTCCAGAATTTCAGATTGATAAAAAGCAGTTTTTCAGTCAGACAAAACAGGCCTGTTCCTGTGTGAAACTCCATACGTGCCATACATCCCGTTTGTAGGCTCCCTTTATGTACTGAAAGGCTGCAATGAGGTCACCCCGCAGCCTTCTTTTCTCCAGGCTGAACAAGCCCAGCTCCCTCAGCCTGTCTTCATAGATAAGGTGCTCCAGCCCCCGATCATCTTCGTGGCCCTCCTCTGGACCCTCTCCAACAGCTCCCTATCTTTCTTGTACTGGGGGTTCCAGATTTGGATACGTGGACTAATGATCAGAGCCACTGACGGCTGTGTTACAGAGCTGAGTAGATTGAGTCACTGAGGCACACTGTAACAGTAGTGTACTTGGTCAGTCTCAAAGGCTGTCCTCCCAGGCTTTGAAATCTGCAGAAGAGGAAGGGAAATCCATAAATGCTACACTTCCAAGACAGCATGTTGTTTTATTCTTATGTTCTGTTGCTTTTATGGAAATGAACTGTACTGGATTATACTGCTACAGCTGTTACAGCAGCAGTACAGCAATGTGGATCACCTGTATCTTTTGTTGGCAGTGCATAAAACATGTAAATAGACTGGTTTCTTCTCACTGTATGTATCCAAACATACAGAAACATACAGAATCTACAAGAAAACTAAAGGTGGAGCAATGTCATGTATTTGTATGTATATAAAACCTGTTCAAAGGGTAGCAAAGAGTACAGCTCACCGTATTATCAACCACACTTACTCATTTCAGCAGGGTTCTCCAAATGTTATTTTGATTTTACTTTGGAGGCTTACTATTTGGAGTTATCTTACCATGCAAAACTGAATGAGTTTAGCTTCTTCCAGGAGCAATCCTAGGCAGAATCCTTCTGTATGGAAGTGATTCTTCTTCTTTTTCTTTTCTTTTTTTTTTTTTACTACATGTGGAAATACAGGTAATATCCTTTACTTTTGGTAGTGGTGCTTTAGCACTTTCTACATTCTTTTCCTACAGTGATACTAAATATCAGCAATAATATATTATTTTTCTTCCCCTTTCCCTTCACTTATTATTATTGTTATTGTTATTATTTGCTACAGAAAAGAACTATGAAGTTCTTTCTAAATTTTCAGACTAGTATTCTACATGAAGAAGTGTGCTCTAAGGGTATTCCTGGCCTTGATTCAGTACCTTTATTTCTTTCCAGGTCACTATGGAATACAAGGAGAGTGATGGAGCAGTGGAACCCATCCGAGTGCATACAGTTGTGATCTCAGTACATCATGCCCCAGATGTACCTCTACAACACATACAAAAGGAGCTAATGGAAAAAGTTGTTAAAGAAGTCATTCCAGAGAAGTATCTTGATGAAGACACGATTTATCATCTTCTTCCAAGTGAGAAGTTTGTAGAAGGTGGTCCCAAGGTATGGTACTTTGAAAGTAGAAAGAATAAAGAGACTTGGATTCAGAGAGCCTGATCAAACTTTGCCATGTGTTTCTAAATGCTCTCTTGCACTGGTATACCTCTAATGAATAAAGTGTAAATATTTTTAAGGTATCTTCAGTCACTGCTACTGAAGATTTTGTACTGGATGGCTTGCACTGAAACGGAATGCTTTACATGCTTGGATAGCCAAATGTAAAAATCCCTGTATTGGTCCCAGAAGGTATTTTTAAACGACAAAAAGTCAGCCTTTAAGTTACAAATTGAAATATCTGACACAGTTTGCCTGTGCTTTCATAGTAAAACAAGCAAACAAATGCACACACACACACAAAGAAACAAAAAGACCCAGAATTAACAACACCTTCTATAAATGGATTTTTATATATGTATGTGTTCACATTTGAATTATTCAGAAAAGCTGCACAAATTTCATTGGAGACCTTAATGCACCAAGCTCCTCAGCACTCATCAGAATCTGACTTATGTTCTGCTTTCTGGGTTCTAGGAAGTTATAAGCAGGTCATTTCTATGAAAATGTAAAAAGTTTTGCTGCACTTTTTTTTTAGTTTTGTAAAAGGTGTTTAAGGAAGGACCAAAACTACAAGGTGTGCTATTCTGCAGTGAAGTAGAAAAACTGCTTTCACCGAAGAATAAATATCAGTGTTACTCTGCTATTATTTATTTTAATATTTAAAGTTAGTGGATTGATACAATTTGTGCTCTTTCAGGATGGAATTTCTTAACTTTCTGAGTTCGTTTATCACCTTGCAGTCACCAACTTTATTAATCTCACAGAAAGGCAGCAATTCTCTGCTGTCTGAATAAGTTAAAACATCTCATCAAGTTGTGGGAAGTAGGCCAAACACCATGCAGAAGTGTTGGGTTCCATTGCTAAGGACAAAGGCAGACAGGAAGAAGAAAGGAGAAATACCAAATCACTTTTGTGCCATCAGTGAACTGTTTGGTGAACTCAGCTAGAGTATTTCAATGCTCTTGTCCTACACAACACTGAACTGTAGCCCAATGAAATTAATCCTTCCTCTGTAGTATGTGTACGTAAATGGATCTTGTTGACCTGTTAGGCTACATATGATCTGTTCTTCAGCTAGGCTTTTGTCTTTCTAAATTCTTCACCTTTGTCAGGTGTAGTGAAGTAATTGATCAGTACTTTGACACTGTGAATTTGCAGGCAGCAGTCTTTTTGTAATATGTACTGTTATGCCACATTCTTATTGGTCTTCAAAAGTTATTGCATAACAGATGGTACCATCAGCTAGTGAAAAATAATCCAGTCCTGCAGAGCTCATTCATTAAACAGTTGTAAGTAAAAAGATGTGCTGAACATTACATTTTATTTGTGGAAAATATAACAAAACAAAATGATACCCAATAACCTAATATGGAATTGGATAAACTGTTGTGTTTCACGAGTATTCAATTGCTTGTTCTGCAGAGTGATGCTGGTCTGACTGGCAGGAAGATCATTGTTGATACATATGGAGGTTGGGGAGCCCATGGTGGAGGAGCTTTCTCTGGAAAAGACCCTTCCAAAGTTGATCGTTCTGCAGCATATGCAGCTCGATGGGTTGCAAAATCTCTGGTGAAAGCTGGTCTCTGCAAAAGAGTATTAATCCAGGTAAGAGCAACTGTGAAATTAATAGACCATAACAGACATTCTATCCCTTGTGTAGCCATTCCTTCAGAATACATGCTTGCAATCTCAGTCCCAGTCCAGTCTAAGAATTATGACTCATACTAGAATGAGTCATCCCATTGGAAAAGTATAAAGGAGTCAGTCCTATGAGGGAAGCAAAACACAGGCCAGAAAGCACCTGGAAGTGTTCTCAATAATGTTTTTTCTCCAGCTGTGTTGCTACCCCTGCTGCCAGTACCTCTTTGCATTATCACTGCTTTTACTTCAGCAATTCAGCTGATGCTCTGCATACACACCCATTCCCAGCACTTCAAACTGCGCTTTACTGCATGTCACAGTTACCTTAGCAGTGTCTAGACATGGTTATGTAATCTGCACTTCTGAATAGCCAGATTGTTTGTATCTTAAAGCACATTAAGCTTTGAAAATACCTTAAGGTTACCATGAGTGGATTCCACTATGGTGCTACATGTGACTAAAACCAAAATTCAATCATATGATTATTTATTTTTAAAAGCTTAAAACAAGAAGAGCTTTCATCATCAGAAGAAAAGCATTTCTTTCCTTGGTATGAATTTTTGGGAATCCTAAGTCTTGGCAGCTGGAAGAGGTGTTTTATTGGCACCTAGACATCTATGCTATTGGTTGGAACCCAAACTGAATGCTAAAACATGGAGATTTGTCTAGGCATTTTACAATACTTATTTATATATATATTTATTCCAAGTAGCTGCTACGTAGTAGCTTTAACTCAGGATGTTAAAATGTAGCAGTGATCTTGCTGGTATTTTTCTGGAGAAACAAGTTTAAGAATCCTTTACTTTCTCTATGGGTCAGAGAGAACATCCACGGTGTTCAATGCCAGACATCTCAGTTAGGAACAAGACCTCTTGCTTTAGGTGTGCATGTGTTTTATAGGTGCAGTAAGACAAGTTAAGGGCAGACAGAACAGGGAGAGCAAAGATAGTGATAGTTAGCAAATCTTTTTTTTTTTCTTTTTTTCTTTTTTCTTTTTTTTTTTTTTTTCTTCTCTGAGGTGATAGAAGACATCTGGCTTCCTGGGCTGCACATTTTTAGTGGTATTTTGGAACACATACACCATTGTCTTAATTCTTCAGTCAGATGGGAATGTTGTTGTTATTTCACAACTCTGAGAGATCCTCCTTAAATTCCCAAGCCTGACTTTAGATATGGCAAGACTAATTCTGTTAATAGAAACTTGGAGATGTCGGATATTAACAATGAAACTAAGAAAGGAGGAGAGAAGAGAATGAGAGCAGAAAAGCAAAGGTTTTGTTAAGTCATTGGAGTCTGGATTAAAGATAATGAAAATAAAAATGTATCAAGTAGAATTAGAAATGTGTTTTCAGCCCTGTAGTAGCTGTATGCTTTGGTAAGACCTTGCTGGCCTTCAATTAGCCTGATGATTGAGCTGCCTTTGCAATGGACACTGTTTCCTTGCTAGCCAGCCTGTAAAACAGAAAAGCCAAAATAATGGTGAGAACTACAGGCTGATCAGCTGTATGATATCACAGATACTACTTATGTTTTAGTTAGTATGACATAAAATTATTGGCTTATTTGTTAATGAAAAAGAGGCCTAACTTAGTTCTATCATTAGACTTAACTAAAAGGACAAATAGCAAAAGCATATTCCCTATATATATATATGTATATGGAATATATATATAAAAGTATATGTGATCTTCCCTTGATAAATGAGATAGCCATTTCCTTTCTCCGAGGCAAAATGTAGGAAGGAGTGTTTTAACTGCATCTGGGTTACATGCATGTCTTCCACAGCTATCATACGCTATTGGTCTGAGTCATCCTCTTGCAATCTCTGTGTTTCATTACGGAACCTCAGACAGATCTGAAGAAGAGCTGCTTGAGATTGTACAGAAAAACTTTGATCTACGTCTTGGGGCTATCATAAGGTTTGTGTGCTGTTAGTATTTGCTGAAATAAATCATATTCTTAATATTCTTTTAACAGTTTAATATTAAAGTTTCTGGCTCCTAACCTCCCAAAAGTCACCTTCATCATATGTCTAATATTGCTGTCATTGCTGCTGCTGCCTCTCCCACATACTGATATACTGATATACATTACTGATATACAAAGGCCAAATCTCAAATCTGGTCACAAGATGTACTGAGTAAGTGAGACTTGTGTCAATTATTTAATGTTACATTTCGCAGTAACAGTAGTAGAGTGTTGTGTTGCAGTTTATTAGCCAGATGGTAGTGTGCTTGATAAAGTACAATTAAAATTTAATATCAGATGTAAATAAGTTTTTCAAACAGTCTGTTTAAGGGGTATGTAAGCCTTCGAATCCCAGACTTATCTGAAAGGCATCAGAAAGACTGGCCTTTAAAATTTGACAGGGTCTCCCTGCCTTTAATCTTTAGATTGTAACAGTTTGTGAGACAGCTGCCACAGGATGGCAAGATTCTGGTGTCCTCACTTCACAAGCAGTCCCTTTGAAATGAGTGCGATGTTTTAGTGTTTGCCACTGCTTTTCTGGGAATATTGGCCACTAGCCCAGAAGAGAAAATAACATTTTTAAGTTACTAGCTTCTTCAAGCCTGCAATCTGCATCAGAAAATCTGAGCAATGAGACCCTGTCACTAATTGTAGTACAGCCCTACGTAGCCTGTTTGAAGTCAAATGAATTT